TGATGAAGATGAGTTGTCATTTGGACAATTCAACACACCACTTGTTGCACCAAATTAGTCAAGCATCATTTATTCTCCATTTGTGCACCCAAACTTTCAACTTAAGATAGACACCATTTTATTATTCCAGAATAGAGTATCATTTTATAGGAAACCTCATGAGAATCCACACAATCACATCTCACACTTTTTGGACATCTACAAAAATTACAATTTCTATGAAATATCTAATGAATCAATCAAGTTGAGACAATTCCCACGTACACTCAGAGATGGAGCAAGAAAATGGTTGGATTCCCTACCCACTAGAAGCATTAGGACCTGAAATTATCTCGTACAAAAATTTGTCAAAAATACTTTTCACTATCAAAAGTAACTAAACAAGACACGAGATATCCACTTTTCAGCATGATGAATTAGATAGTTTTCACGAAGCATGAGAAAGATTTATCGACTTGATCAAGAAGTGTCCTAACCACGAAAAGATTTGCAAGTTCATTACTTCTACATTGGTTTAAACCCAGCATGTCGTATATCAGTGGATACAGTTTCAAATGGATATATCACATTAAAGTCACCAAATGAAGTTGAGGAATTATATGAGATGATGGCAGCCATTAATGCCTTATGGCTTCCGAAAGATCCACGCATAAGAAGCACATAAGTTTACATGAGGTGGATGCTTTCTCGGCATTATCAGCATAGATGTCGGCTTTGGAAAAGAAGGTGATAGATCACTTGACTACAAGAAATTCAACAAAAGCACTGCAACCGAAATTTTTGGTTTGTGGTAGATGTTGTGGAGCTCACAAGCATCTCAAGAGATAGAAGAAGTTAATTATGCACAAATTTATCAACACCAACATAATAATGCATTCAGCAAATACATACAACTCAGATTGGCGTAATCACCCTAACTTTTCTTGGTGCAACAACCAAAATAATCAGTAGCAGCCTTTCCCTGGTTTTCAATAACAAGACAAAAAATCATCTCTTGAAAATATCTTGAGTAAGTTTATACAGAAGAACGACTAGTATATTGCAAAGATCAAAACAACCTTACACAATCATTCAATAGGCATAAAGGGGTTAAAAACTCAAATAGATTAGTTGGCCCGCACTATCTCAGAAAGACTACAAGGAGCCCTATCTAGAAACACAGAAAGTAATCCAAAAGGGACAGGTGCAAGCAATTACAACAAGAAGTGGGGTACAACTGCCTGAAATTACAGCAAAAAGACCAGTAGCAGAGGAAAATAAAGTGTCTACTTCAGATGAGGAGCAAGTGAAAGGATCTGAAAAGTCAACTGAGAAAAATTTGAAAGGGAATTCAGACACACCACAAGCTAAGGTGGCCGTTCCTATCAGAGAATATGTACCCACCATTCCATTTCTTCAGCGACTGCATAAAATAAACTGGACAAACAATTCTCCAAGGTCATTAAAGTGTTTAAAAAGCTACATATTAACATTCCATTCGCAGATACTCTAGCACAAATGCTCAGCTACGTAAGATTTATGAAGGAAACTTTCACTAACAAGAGGAAGGACTATGAGACCGTAATGCTAACTGAGGAATGCAGTATACGTCTACAGAATAAATTACCCCCTAAGCTCAAGGATCCAGAGAATTTTACTATACCTTGTACCTTAAGAGATATATATTTTGAACATTCTTTATGCGATCTGAGCGCAAGTTTAAATTTAATACATTGTCTTTGTACATGAAACTAAGAATTGGAGAGACTAAATAACCACAATATCATTGCAGCTAGTGACTGTTCCATAAAGCATCCAAGGGGGATTATTGAAGATATCTTGGTGAAGGTGGACAAGTTCATTTACCCCGCAGATTTTATCGTATTAGATATGAAAGAAGACCAGGATATTCCAATCATTTTAGGTAGACATTTCCTGGCTACTGGAAGAGTATTTGATTGACGTACACGAATGAATGTTGACACTGTAGGTTAATGATAAGAACATAAATTTCAACATTTATCAATCGGAGAAACCTCCAGAAAAGGTTGACTCTTGCGAGATGATCCAATCAGTTGAAGCAATTGTATGTAATAGAGAAAAAATGATTTATTCTAGACCCTCTAGTGCAGCACATGGTTACCAGCTATTCAACAAGGGATACATCTCTTACTGGTAAATACTCAGGATCCAATGAAATAGTTGAATTCCTATTGGCTTATGAAGCATATCCACCTGACAAAAATGATAGCTATGTGGAAAAGTTTTGAAAACCTCCAAACAATGTCAAACCAAAAGAGGTTTTGAAGACTATACCCAATTCTATTTGCCAAGCTAGAGTGAAGAAGAATATAAAGCTAAGGATAAAGTTTACAAACATAGAAACATGCCACTTGAAGATCCAACGTAGACAATTTGGTTAAATCAAGATAATGACGTTAAAAAGAAGTGATTTTTAGGAGACAACCCAAACTTTCTTCCTTTTTATTTATTCTGTTTTTGAGTTTTATGATAATTTAGTTTATTTTAAGTTTATTTGGGATTCATCATCCATACCCCTTTTTCCCTTAGGTCTTCGATATGTTGGTTAATTAGATATTAAAGTTAAGTAACACTTGTTCCAGTTATTTGATCTTAATGTTTTATTTGATTTTTCAGGAGCATGACGTCGCATAACATTTAAACCAATATTGACCATGGAGCCAACGGGAGTAATAGGAAAGCTAGCCGTTGAATTACAATGCGAATTTAGGATTTAAGACATTGAGTACAATGTATAGTTTAAGTTTGGAGGTGAAAAATATGAGTTTTCATTTTTTTTATATGTTTTGTGTGCTTTTGTTGCTTTAAAAAAAAATTGAAAATTTTGAACAATTTCAAAAATATTTTCTTTTTGTGTGTTTGTGTGAGTTAATTGGCTTAACTGGTAATGAAGAATGTATTGAATCATAAATTAATCTATGAATGGTAAATAAGTTCCATACTTAGATTAATTTTTATTTTTTATTGTGAAATTTGATATATATTAAGCATATGAATTAAGTTAAGTATTGTATACGAATGAATTGATTTCATAATTGGATAAGTTGAAATAGTGGACCATAGATGCTAAACCCAAAACCACTAAATTTTACATTCTTTGACCAAATTTAGAATAACTTGAGGGATTTAACTGTTGCGGGAAAATATTGAAATAAATAAGGATTGCATGTAAAAAAAAAATTGGTGTGGATTGTCTAAGGTCAATATGATGAAATTGGGTGAAAATCTCAAGTTAGAGGTCGTTTTTCTTAAATTGATATTTAATGAGGGATGGTGCACTAATCAAGGCATAAAAAATTATTATTTTATTTGAAAATTTCTTTTTATAACCTTTATGACTCGAATAATTAAGCTAGCAAGGGTTTTTAAAACATGGCGCCCTATGGTCATCTGATTTGGTAGTCATCGATCGAAAGCTTATTACATGGGTCATTTAAAAAGGTTAAGCGAGAGAATGCTTCAAATAAAGAAGAAAAAAATGAAAAAAATTATAGAAAATCAGAAAAAGAAGGTGTATGAAATGGAAGACACACCAAATACCTTGATTATATCCCAAACACTTATTTGGAAAATTTGACTTTTGATAAGGGATTATTAGTCTGGTTAAATTCTAGAGATTGACAACCAAACTCTGGAGAATCCTTATTTATTGATATATTGACTAGCAATTAGTGAGATTTATATAAATTAGAGAGGTAAGGATATTATAAAATTTAACTTTAGTTCACACACCTGAAAAGAGCGAAAAGAATAAGTTTGGAGTATGTGAATCTTAGGAGTAATAAAAGAATATATATATATAACCATTGAGGGTCGGGAATTAAAACAACTTATAATTCATAATGCGATACTTAATTCTTCACACACACGTCGATTTTATATTGAAAAAGTATATTTTAATTTATGTATTGTGATTTTGAATCCGTGATTAGATTTAGTATTATGATTTCATTCCTGAGATAAAAAGTCAGATTAGTTAGCTAAATATTTTTGTTTTGCTTGATTGACTAGCCACAAATTAGATAATTAGTATTGTATATTTGTGTGTTTATTAGATTTTAGTTTTGTTTGAGAACAAACAAAAAATCAAGTTTGTGGGTGTGATAAGTGTAGTTTTATACTTATTCGAGACTCTAAATCATGATATTATATTGTTTTTTGAATAAAATTCTACCCAACTTATGTTATATTATATTTTGTAGGTAAAACTTTATGTTTAATAAAGAATTGAAGAAAATAATGCAAAATCGTGGAAAAAAAGGAAAAATCATAGTACGAGGACTTGGAGGCAAGCATTAAATTAATTGCGCCTCACTTTGGACTTCTAAATAGATACAAAATTTGGCGATTTGAGATTAAATATATAGATAAAGAAAGTAGCTTCACGTTTCGTCAATTTTTGTTGATGTCTTTCCACTTTTGTGTGTTTAATTTTAACATTATGAGTGACTAAATACTTTTATTGTTACGATGAATGATGTAGTTTAAAGTTTTTATTATATTTTTATTTCATGATTTTCATACCATTTTGATATTTTTTAATTAATTATTATGTGTTTAATGTTTTAATTGTCTGCGCAACAATTGATTGATTTAGGGATAATATTGAGATCGAGAGGTGATATATAATTATAGCTAGTACAGTAATTAACACAGACATTAATAAAAGATCAAGAGATAATTATAGGCTATGCGATCAATGTTAAATTCATATAGATAAATTCGTTCATGTGTGTGTGAATTTATATAGAGATATAGTAAGTCCGGACATATGAGATTAGTGTTGCTCAAGAGAGATCACTAACTATATTAGGTTAATTGGACCGTTAGCACGTAAGAAAAGATGGCTGAATGAATTGAAATTAAATGTATATTAAATAACCTAAGTGAAATCGAAACTCGTAACCATCCAATCACGTAATCTTATCTACAGTTTTAATTTGAGTTTGTTATTTTATTTATTAGAACTTCGTTTAGAAAACACAATTTGATTTAATCATTATTTACCAGTTTAATTTAAATTGAATCTAGGTCAGTTTAAAACTTTATAGTACATAGTAATATCTGTGGAACGATATTCAAATTTGATAAATCCATTTTATTACTTGTCACGATCCGTACACTTGTGAAATTTTACGAAAACAACACTCTAGATGCATGAAATAACCTAAGTGAAATCGAAAATCGTAACCATCCAATCACGTAATCTTATCTACAGTTTTAATTTGAGTTTGTTATTTTATTTATTAGAACTTCGTTTAGAAAACACAATTTGATTTAATCATTAGTTACCAGTTTAATTTAAATTGAATCTAGGTCAGTTTAACATAGTAATATCTGTGGAACGATATTCAAATTTGATAAATCCATTTTATTACTTATCACGATCCGTACACTTGTGAAATTTCACGAAAACAACACTCTAGATGCATGCCATCACATCTTCCCCCTACCCTATCCCTAAAACAATCACTTCCATTGGTAATCTTACTAATTCATTGATTCCACATTATGGATTGGACAGGAAATTGATAGTCCATGTTGTCTTTCCTAAGTGGTCAGTTAGGAAAAAAAAGGCACTCTCAATGGTGTATATGTCTTTATGAAGGTACTCTTTTATAAACCACATAAATGAGGGAATTTCACACTCTTCCCAGCTTATCAAAAAAATGAATAAGATCCTATCGAATGCTTCGAAGGGATGTAAAGTCGGACCTTCAACTTACAAGCAGAACAAAGAAAATGCAAGACTAACGACCCCCACATCAACTTTCTGTAACCATCCTATTATGAGGGTAGCAAATTTTGTACTGAGTTCCATCTTGAGAAATCAAAATAGTTGACGTCACTAGGCCTAAAATCTGCCAATTACAATATCTGGATTTTTTAAGAAAAAATAAAGTGTCTTAAAAACATGCTTTTATAATACATTGGTAAATGGTCAAGAAGTAGATGTGTATAATTTTATATAATCACTTTATTTATAAGTTTAATCTATTAAGAATTTAAGATAAGAGAATTAAACGAGATTCATAAATGAGTGGCAGTAAAAAATTTCGTACCATTTCGAAATGCAACCTCGTCTAACATCTTAAACTAGTAGTGAATAGTGATAGGCAAACTAGCATAAGTGGGAAAATAAAAGATTTTTGATTCTAGATAACAATATACATACATGGACTTGCCTTTTTTTTTCCCCTATGGATACAGTGAAACTCATATGAGATTACACTATGGATAAAAAACAAAGGCGCAAGTACCCCTTTTGGCCTTTTTATGAACATGAACAAGAATGAAAACCCTAATTTTCATAAATTTCTTGATTTTACAATCCTAAGATGAACCAAATCAATAACTAGTCTTGAAAGGCTTGTAACCTTTCAGATCAGAAGCGACGCCGGCAAAGGAACCAACAGCAGCAGCAATGGAGATAATAAGGCAAGTAACACTTAATATTTGTAGGCATATCCATTTTGTGCTCCATTTTTCTATGTTCTTTTGTACAATGTACATTTCCACAGGGAAGTATACTGTTAAAGGCCAAAACCCGAAGGCACCTAGAATCCCCACAACATCGTTGAAAAATGGCATCAGCATGGAGATTAGCGTGGTTAAGAGTACAAAAATTGTCCTCCAAACTAGTCGAAAAAGGCTGAGTTTGTAAGGGCTGTATCCCGGGATGGAGATATCGATTTCCTTGATGATGAATGTGCTATGTGGGAACCATTCTTCTGATGTTTTTTCGACAAAGGCAAAAAGTGGTTGGCAGTAGACTTGGTATGCGCCGATGAGGTGGATGACTATGGCAGCGTTGGCTATATCGAGTAGCCAGTAGGGGTTGTAGAAGCCAAAGCCGGTAAGGAGATTTCCAGGGGAAAGGTCTCCAAATGCTGCATAGCCAAAACAGCCACAGGACATGTAGAAAAGTGTTGTTACTGCTACACTCAATAGAGTGGCCTTTTTCATTGTCTTGTATTGTGATGGTGGGGACTTTATTGTATCCTGTTATATAAGATCGAATCAAATCAAGATCAGTCTATATAGGACATAAAAACAGACAAGATTTTAATTGATGGAGATGAAAAAAGAGCTAAAACTCTACCTGAATTTCAATAAGGATAAGGGAGTAAGAATAAGCAAAAGCTATGGCTCCAAGTGCTTGAAAACTTCTCCATATCTTGTCCATTTCAGTCACTGTGCCTATGCTTATTCCAGTTAGACTTCCCCTAATTTTTCCAGTTTCTGCATGAAACAAAGAATTCGACACATTCATGGAATAATGAACAATATTTCTTCTTTAATTCTGTCTAGTTCAACATATCAAACGTGCCATATAAACGAGGAAACAAAAATTTAAACCAGGGGTTCTTTTCTTACCTGCAACTTTTGCAATTCCAAGGCCTAAACCAATGGTGGAGTAAATAAAGGACATGACTGCAGCAACAATTGAAAGCCACCATATTTGATCAAAGTCTGGGATTTGGGAGAAAATTATTTCCATGACACCAAATGCTATCATATAAGGATTGCTTGAAACTCCGCAAGGACTGCTATCTCCTTTTGAATGGAAACAATTAGACCTTTCAATTGCCCTGTTGAAAAAAGTTAAAAAATCTTGTTTATCACAATGTCGTGTATCAAACATGCACTAAAAGACATATGTATGGTACTTCTACATTCATACTTACATCATACTTATAGATGCCGCAATCGTGTAACCAATAGCCACTCCAAAAAGATTCAAGTACTGAATTGCTCCACAAACTTTAACCTGGAATCCTCCTGAAATTCCGAAAGGAAACAAGTGTCATATTCCTGATAAAGATAGGGTCGGCTACATGAATCCTTTTTTGACCTAAAGTTTACATATATGGAAAAAATTTACCGAGGTTGGCTCGGACAGCTTCCATATACGTGTAATTTCTTTCCCCGTTATCGGGATCCCCACACCGATAACATGCTGCCAACAGAGCAGAAGTGTAGTATGTTACAAATGAGAACAAGAGCATCACAGTTGGACCTGCTATCCATCCAAGCTGTGCAGTAGCCCAGGCCAAGGACAGAACTCCAGAACCAATTACAGCAGTTATTATGTGAGCACTTGCAGTCCAAATAGTTCCTTTCAGAAAAATATGACACAAGAAAACTCAGTTAAAAACAAAGATAAAATATTTTTCTTTTGTACCATGTCTGGTACTGAATACCAAACATGCACTTTCAGTTCATATTTAGAGTTTGTTTGGTACAGCTCAAAATCGGATTAAAATTGAAAATATAGCCGTTATTGGGTCTCATTCGTCTAATAAAAGTCAACAATAATGACTAGTTTTTCAATTTTAATCCGATTTTAATCTCTACCGAACACACCCTTAATCTTAACTGGAGTACTTAAAGAAAAATACCGGTTCGTTTGAGGCGGCCATCATCGTCAAAACACTTGGAACCAATCTGAGGAGGGACATTGATGGAGACATCAAAGATTTGGTGGTGGTTATGGCTCTCGTTTGCACTCATCTTGATTCAAACAATCTTGATTCAAATAAATTGAGAAAATGAAAACTAGATGAAATTATATAAACCTATAAGCAGAAGGAAAAGGTTAATGCTCTTAAGATTCAGTGAGAAGAATGTGTACTTTATGAGAACACATGGCAGGCTATATATAAGAAGAGAAACATGTTAGAAAAGTCATGCAAGTATGTCAGGTCAAGTCACCATTAATGGCACGCTCAGTACATTAAGAAAAAAAGTTAAAATCTTGCTCATTATTCTGTATGGTGCTGTATATTAAACAGAACTTACACATTTTGTCAAACATCCCCACTACCTAAAAGCATATAGATTATAGAGATATTGATTCCACTTATCGATGTGATATGCAGAAAATCACTCCACCCTACTTCCCTATCTATCTTCCTCGAATTTAGGTCAATGTTGTGGTCATTTGACGATTGACAGTGTTATATGAAGTGCTTACATTTAATGTCCAAGTTTCAAAGAAAAGACGAAAACACAGAAGTAACCGTAACAATTTTTTTTAAAATTCACTAAACGACGGTTGCAAGTAATTTCAAAATGCTAAAAGAAAATACAAATGTCAAGAAAAATGACAAAAAAGAGGATTCAAAGTTTGTAACTCTCACTCTTTAGTCTCTCTCTCTTCCTTTGATCAAAGTGGAAACTTCACTAAGAATATGTAGAGGGAGGAATTGAAAGACTGTTGTATTCCATTCTTTGATCAATTCCTAGTACTATTTATATGTACAAACAGAGACTTATAAGTTAAAATTTTCGATCAGTCTCTTTTAAGTAGCACTTCCGTGGCTTCTGGTCCATCCTTTTATCAGAACAGAATAGGGTTCCATTATCCATAATTAATTCCCTAAATTATATTAAGTATCAAGAAAACCTATCAATATCAGTCAAATAAGTCACCTTTCAGAACAAATAATTGGCATTTAGAGAGGGACATTTTAGTATCCTATTCTCATTTTTTGGGTTCCCAAAGACTGAGGATTCAAGGTTACTAGAAGAAGATAATTACTTCTTTTGATGGGTATCTTTGAAAGTTTATTAGGACAGTCTTCTCTTAATATTCCTCTTGTTCAAGTGTGCTATGTACCTATCTATATTATTGCATTCTCGTGTACCGCAAAACTCTCGAGTTATAATAAATCTCTAATATATATTCAGATATTCTTAAAAGTCTATCTCAAACTAGTACTGAAATGAGATCGACGATAGATGAAAGCAAAAGATTCATAAGAGAAAACACAAGTATTAGGACATGTACTTGAGCGTTCAAAAATAAGGTCGACTACACAAATTACTTTTCATCGCTCAATTCAGTTTGAGTTAAATAATCGAAAGTGATAATCAAAATGCACTAAATTTTTGACATGACTTTTCCCTGAAAATAATGATTTTTGCCCAATACTTTTGGGGGTGGGGGTGGCAAATAGCAAATATTAAATTAATACAATAATGTTAGTGAACAAATTCCCTTTGTTTTGACATCTATACTTGGTAAGAAAACAAATTTTCACTTTGATTGCACTTTGTTAAGGACCCAATCAACGTTCATTATTACTCCACTTCATTAAAATAAGTTATATAAACTTACTATATATGATAATTAAAAAACTAATAAAGATTTTAACTTTCTTACAACCTCAATTCTTGGAAGGAACATTTTGGAAAAAAAAATTAAAAAAATTCAACTTAATGACTACCATTGTTAGTGAGCTTTAATGTTTGACTATAATCTTAAAAAATCTAAAAATAATTATTATGAGTATAGTGCACGCCATTGAGAATTTACTTAGTCATGTATAACAAAATTTAAAAATGATTTAATTCCCTTGAAGGATTTTTTTTGTATTTAGATAAAAATCTTGATTAGAACTATACTTTCAGTAAATTGTTCAAATTCTTTTGAAAATGTTGATCACGAACAATCAAGATCTTTGCAAGCATTTGTTAATCACAATCTTTTCACAACACAACTCTTCAGTTGTACAACCTCAAATGATAAGCCACACAAGAGAACAAGAATGAGAGATTACAGTTTCTCTTTCTTGTGCTAGAATGATTATTATATTTTGAGATATGTTATTGTAATTGTAATCTCAATTGCTATTGTGACAACTTATGAAAACTCAAACCCTAAGGGCGTGTTTGGTTTGTGTTCATATTTTCAATTTTGAGTTCATTTTTCGTTCTCTATTTTGAGAATCTATTTTAAGATTGTTAAAAACACATTTAGTTTGTCATTTCAAAAAATTATTTTTCAAAATAAAAAAGTAGAAAACATGTTTTATTCGAAATTTTGAAAAATTGTTTTGTGAATTTTTTCTTAAACGGATCGTAACAAATAATAAAATGGACCTATGAGTCCGAATATCGATCTCTAAAGGACTACTATCTAACAATTAATTCAATTATTCCTAACTTCAATTTGATCGAAAACAAATAAAATATTTATTGTTCTTTTCTTTTCGTGATTTTCTATTTTAAATATAATAAATAAAAGTGAATTTTTAATATGATGGTTTAAGTGTTATGATTCATGATTTTACTATAATTATCTCATTAATCTCAATTACCAAGTTTTAAACAATTGATTATGTTTATCTGATCGAATTCTTATAATGTACTCAATTTGCGCTTCTCGTGTTCTCATTTAATCTATTTATCTAATTCAATCGCATATCTCTATGTGAATTAATTTTAGTTGAACGTAATTATTTTTCTAGGAATTCATGTAACGATCACAATAACTACCATAAGTATCTCTACGTTTTATACTAAATTACCGACTATTACTTCGTGGTCTAAACGAATAATTCGCATCTCTAAATAATTATTGCTCACGAAATCAATGAATTAGTGGCCAATTAATCAAAGCATTAAGATTGGAAGTAAAAAAAATTCACAAAATCAATTGGCATTTAAATTTTTTTAATTAAAATAAGATTCAAAACTAGGTTACAATATTCATTCTAACCTAAGGTTGTGTTTGACACCTATTTTGGAGAAATAATAAATTCTAAAATAGTAATTGATGGAAGAATGTGTGGTTAAAAAGTAAGGAGAATGTTTGGATTTATGTGTAATATTATTTTATTGATAGAATGTGTGCTTAAATGAAGAAAGAGAATTGGAAGAAAACAGGTGTCAAACAGTAGCTTAATTACACATCATGGAACAATAAAAATACAAGAATGAATTAAAGTACATCATCGGATATTAAAGAAAAACGAGAAGAAGATGAAGATCTTGCACCAAAATTCCGTCTTCTTCTTGTTAAATTTTGAAATCTTAGCTCATTGATTGTTTTCTTGAATTTTTTTTTTCCCCTCCTTTTGACTTGAATAATATATGAACAGTAAATCCTTCAAGCCTTGGCCTGAATATATATGTCTAATGAAACTCCACGAGCCTCCTTTAATTGTTGTACTATATTGTGTATTTATATAACAAGATTAGTTTAAGTCCTTGTTCAAATTGATTTCCACCTAAGAATTCAAATTGGTTTTTTACCAAAAAGTTTAAGAAACAAAAGGAAACAATTCTTTTTGCCAATTGAACTCCTTTTCTCGTGTGACTTTATTCCTTCATCTTGTAATATTTGCAATTAAATCATCTTAATTCCAAAGTAATAATAATTGACCCGAGAAAAGTTTCGGAGTTTGCAATTTAGTCCCAAACTTTTCAAATGTCGAATTTAATTCCCAAAACTTATGAATTTTTACCGAGTACTCCATTAATATGTCCAATTGATCTCTTGCAATCCGGTTAATCTTCAATTGCTTCAAATCAATTCCATTTAAACTCTAAAAAGCCTATTTTCAATAAATTGTATCCAATTTGAGATTTTCCTACAATTAACATAATTTACACAAATTATGTAGATAATCGCTCAGTTATATATATATTAAATAAGAATAAAAGCCAAGATAAGCGCATAACATGCACTTATCAAATACCCCCAAGTAAAAATTCTTGTTCATCACGAACAAAACTATCTACTAAACACACAAGCAAACAAACAAAAATATAATTGCATTAGATAACTTTACCAATCTTGCATTAAGTATTGAAATCGTTCCATGATTCATAAAAGATTCATAAGCAATGCAACTAAAACTAATTTTTTACTTGTTCAACTTGATTAATGCGTGGGTGTGTGTGTGTGTGTATAGTCAATCAAATTATCACGAATTTCAAAATTAGTTATTTCGTGACCTTTAATAGTCAAATATTTCCTTACCGTCTCATGAGATGTACACCCCCCCCAATCTTGTTTTTCAATCACTTACCAAGGTGTATATTCTAAGGTTGATTACACAACTCTCTTTTCTTTTTCCGTTCAAGTTTGATTGGGTTTCACCAATGAAAGTCGCTACCTCAATACACGATGATTCTCCTTAAATTTGAATATCTCAACATCTAAGTTTTAACTAGGATAATAACTCTCACCAAAAGTCTAAATTCCAAATTAAATATCAAAGGCTTAGTCAGACAAAAGCAGTGCTTATAATTGTTTTACCACAGCCTCAACACACTTTGATGTTTTTTTTTTATTGTGTCACTTCTTCTTTTTTTGGGATCTTTTGTTTGATTTTCGAAAGTAGTTTTCATTCTACATTGCAGGCAGTCTTCTTTCTCGATAGATCGCCTCCTAAACATTGGCAATGATTTGGACAAGATTACTCAAGACTAGTTTCACAAACAATGTAGGTAACTTTTTTCTAACTGCCATGGCTAGTGCAATGCCTTTTATTTTTTCGGATAAGTAATTGAAATCAAACCCCTAGTAAATGGTTACTACCTAATTTCTTTTTGTCATACAAAAACATTCCACACAAATATTCAACATACACGAAATCAACACATATCTAAATAACTCCCAACAACGGATCCACCACCCTAAACTTATCATTTCAATTGGTTAAGTAGTTTTGGTACATAATATGATCTTGGTCTACAAAGACCCAAGTTCATTCAACAAA